CTTGATCTTCTCTTTGGACCACAAAGGCGACCCTTGTGTGAAAACACACAAAAAAAAATGCTTTTATTTTTACTTTACCACCACTGAGTGAAATTAAAGAGCTGTCACAATATGCCAGGGCTGTAAATTTGCTATTAAAAAAATAATCAGGGTTAGGGTGTCATTATACTGAAGTGGAAAATGCCCAAAATGAGCGTCACTTTCACTCCATGAAAGATCTTGCTCATGAGGTGAGGATGATCATGACAAAATTCAGGGAGCAGCCTCAAAATACAAAATTAACAGTTGGTAACACACCACGGCGTAATCTGCGAGTTCCCGTACAGTTGGGCCTTGAGTTTCAAAGTCAAAATGAGGCCAAAAAAAAAGACATTTAGAGCCAATTTCCAAAATTAAAAAAATACAAACTCAGAATTTTGTCAATTATTCTTTTTTTGTCAATCTGAGACAACAGACAATCTTTGCTTTTCAATTCTTACTGGGTTGGCGCAGCACGATGTCATTGGAGACGGCGGTCCCGTGTTTGTTCCTGGCCGTGCACTGGTACGTGCCCTCGTAGTGTTCCGTCCGCTCCCTGCTGATGTCCACCACCAGTGTTCCCGAATGGGCCCTCATGTGCACGTTGGGGTGCTGCTCCAGGTCAAAGTGGGTGCCGTTTCTCGTCCAGGAGAAACTGAGCAGCCACGTAAAAAAGACTTGAATTTCTGACATCTTTGTTTTTCTTTTTTGAAGGTATTTTTGTCACTGTAAAAATCTACTCGCACACTCAGATAAAGAGATCCTTACCTGGGATGAGGCTTCCCTTTAGCCTCACAGTGGATGACAATGTTCTCCCGGGGGTCGATGATGTAATCCTTGGGGGACTGGTGTGTGATAGTGGGGGGCTGCGGCACTTAAAAAAAAAAAAAAAATGAACAGAGAAAGACTTGACCTTGACCTTCACCGCAGAGAGTGTCATTTAACCGCACTGACACATGCCATAGAAGCTCTCTCAATTCACTACCTGCGTAAAAAAAAAAAAAAAAAAAGGCATGCAGGATGCAAATGACTGGCTTGGAGCAGCGCCATGACGCAAAAGCATGTAAATTCATGCCAACGGCTGGATCGCTACTTGAAACAGAACCCAAAGCAAGCATGCAGCACATCAGGTTTCCACTGCAAAGCACACCAAAAATTATTCTTCCAAAACGGCATCAAATCCTCAAAAAGCACAACAAAAATGGCCGCTTTGTCCACGTCACGCTTGCTTGGGACTTACATCTTTCCAGAACTTTTCCCCGAAAGAATCAGCAATAAATCACAATAAAGAGAACCAAACGTTAGTGTGGAAACAATGACATTTCTCCATCTTGCAGTTGGGAGAGTTATAACTTAATAAATCCTGCAAAGTGGTTCTCCAATGGCGTTACTCAATAAATGGAATAGCTAAAAACAAAAAACAAACAAAAAAACAAGCACTATCCAAGTGTTGATCTGGAAAACGAACACACAAGAAAATGCATATTTGGAGGTGTCAATTTATCGCGTCAATTGCAAATAATTAATGAGTCATATTTAGCGCGTTGTGTTGTTTTAATCTCGTTAATCTCAATTTTAATCTCTAACTTTATTGTTTCTGTCGGTGGGTTGCCTTTTTATAATATCCCCTTTCATGTGTTGGCTTCCTGTGTTCGAGTAGTTGAGGGTGGGGGAACAAGTCAGTCACAGCCTGAAGCAGACATTGATTGGCTGTCATTATGTTTGGGCTTGTTTAGCAGAAGCTGACTGGCTCCCTTTGGAATTGGGCGGGCTAAATTAGCAGCGGTGAGGAGAGGAGAGGTGAAAATGGAGCATGTTAGAGTTGTTTTCTCGATTATTAATTCATCTTAATGTCACAGTTGTGCATCAACCACGATAATGGACCCTTATGTGTGTTGCCATTGTTATTATTTTTTTTTTCATGCCGAAAGATGAATAAAAACACTTGAGAAAAAAATCCTGATGTAGGTCATCATTATTTGTGCATGAAAGGGTGAAAAAAAATGTTTGGTCACAAAACATTATAGTAGATAAATTCTAATGCATTCTCATATAACAGATATTTTTGTTGAGTACCGGTATATATTTTGAATTGTAATTCGGCATTTTTTTTTTCCCAAGTTAGCGTATTTTCCGCACTAAAAGGCTGCGTGCTTGGTTGTGTCGTCTTACGATCGAGCGGGACCTCCAACGCCGCCACCAGCGGCAGCAGCAGCAGCAGCAGCAGCAGCAAGTCCGGCTCGCCCATCCTCCTCCTCGTCATCATCAGCGTGCGACGCCAAGGTCTGCTACCGAGTAGCCCCGCCTCTCCCTGCTCAGTCACGCGGTCGAGAGGACGCGTGTGCGCTGACTCACGCTACAAGGACGGAAAGACAAAACAAAAAAAAAAAAAACAACAACAACAACACATTAGAGGGAGAGAGAGAAAGAGAGAGAGTCATCTCTGCAAGAGTGGACACAGATCAATGGTCATGCATCGCAGATAATGGAGTGCTCAGGCGAGGTGCCAACATGAGCTTTCATTACTCAGTTGGCCCACAAGCCATCAGTCAGTCCTCTGTGCCATATTGATACACACTCACGCACGCACACAAATGACCTGAACATTTGGAGCCCAGTTCCACACACTGATTTTCCCCTTACGACCTCCTTTTATGTTATCGTTAAACTACAATGAAAAAAAAAGATCATGGTGAGTATGAGTATCAATGTCTTAGTATCGGAGTATATTTTGAGTCTGAGTACGGAAGCACAGTTTCACTTGCATATTGGCCAACGAGTTGCATTTTTTTTTTTTTTTTGCAACACAGAGTGCGAACGCCTGGTCTTGCATGCCTATTACACTGTTGAGTATGTGTGAACATGGAAAAAAACGTTTTGAAAATCCATGTTGGGGAAATGCGAACGATTATGTATTCCCTGTCCACATTAACGCGCAACCCAAAGTTCAGAGCACATAGCGAGCAATTATTCAAAGCGATACCATCGGTATAATTTCTTATTTGCATAGCTTGTGAAGCTTGAAAACTGAAATCGAGAGTCATATTCCGGCCCTGCTTTTATCTCTCTTTTAAAGCCATTGGCACCGAACGGAAAAAAGTCGTCGCGAGGGCAGACGTACTCATTTTTCTAATTAGATTAGATTAGATTAGATTAGATATCCTTTATTTGTCCCACACTGGGGAAATTTACAGCCTTCAGCAGCAAGATTGTGGGTAGAAAGAAGAGAAAAGAAAACACAGTTCAATTAAGTGCAATATAAATACAAACATGGATAAGGTCAATAATTAAGTGCAATATAATACAATAGTAATAATCGCATCAGCACACATTGAACTTTAACGGTCCGCTACAAGAAGAAATAAAAATTGGCCTGTCAGACACGAAGCAGCGCTGCGGAAGGTCCGATAGTGGTTGGAGGGAGCTTTTTTTTTTTTTTTTTGGTCTGTGATGAGAAGCCCTGACAGCCAAACAAGTTGGCCCCCGTCTGGACCTTCCTTTGGGGGACTGACTTGTTTGTTCGGGCTGCCCTTGGGTCATGATGGAAGAGAACGAGGCCGCAGCTCCCTGGCTTCGGGAGACCGTGTGTGTGTGTGTGTGTGTGTGTGTGTATTGGGCCGAGGGTGTGAGCCAATCACACGGCTGTGTAGTATCACAAAGTAGAGGCTGAAAGGCGAGACCAAATCCGATTTTCATCACAAATGACAAGTGGAACAGCCAAAGTTGAACGTAATGCACAACAAAGAGGCTTGCTGAAATCTTTTTTTTTTTTTTTGTCGAATGAAATCATATGTAGTGAATAAAGCCTTTTATTAACTCTCGAGGTGATGTTTCATGTCGCATTTTTGTCGTGGAAGTCAGAAATTCTCAAAGTGCAGTTTGGTTGTAACTGTGATCTGTTTGTTTTGAAACAGGTCGAATTTTGATTTAATTTTCATCAAAATATTTGCTATGACTTTCTGTGTTTTGTTCCATTGCCGTCAGCTTGATAGGACTTGATGTAGCTCAAAGGACTTGAATTTTCATCTTGTGTGGTTCCTATGTGACTGGTTTTGCAGCGCATTGATTCTGATTTTTCATTATAGCCAGTTTATATTGCATTTTGACTTTTTTTAAATTAGTTTTAATTACTTTTGACAGCAGAATTTAGTTGTTTTTTTTTTAATGCTTCATTTTAGTTCCAATTTAGATTTTGCGTTAGTTTTAGTTTTTTTCAAATGACTTTCGTTTTTAATTTCATTTCGTCAAAAGTATGGGCAAAAAGGTACTTTTTTCGTGAACAACAATGACCTTGCTTTTCGCATATCTTATTCCTGACGAACCTTTACGAAAGGAAAGGAAACTTTTGTGTCCTCAGTATCCTTTCCGCAACACTGTTCGTGAAGATGCTTGAGCATTTCTCACGGGACTTTTCTCATGAATACCCGCCATCGCCCTGTGACATAGGTGAAGAAAAATGGTGTCAAATTCATTTTCAGAAGCGCCGTCTTTTCCGATGGTCAGTAAGTGAGCACGTGGCTTTGAACCCGATGACCTTTTCCACAAAGATGAAGGAAAGGTGGTGTAGAAGTCAGAAGGCGCCAGCGCTAGCCGCTCCCAAACTAGTTTGTTGTCGTTATCTTGTCACTCGACTGACTCTGGGCAAGAGATTTGCAAACCACTTCCTCACCATTCTGCTTGAATTTACGCTGCTGCACACTGCATGCAAAGAGAAATGTGAAGGGCACCGGCGTTTGTTAGTTTAGTAACGTGCCTTCCCAGAAAATGAGGCTCGGAACTGATCTTGTTGGCTCGAAAAGCAAAAATCAGCCATGCACTCTAAAATAGCCACTGGAAATGCCTGCAATGCAAAGAAAAAAGGGCTAATTAGGAATAAAAGTGTTAATTATAAATGCGGAGGTGAAGCCTCGCATGGTGATTCTTATCTGGAAAGCTTCCAGGGGCAGATTCATTTGGCAATTTAATGAGCTGAGGACGCTCCGCTTCAGCCGGACGCCTTAGACGTCTGTGCGCGTGCGTGTACGTGTGCTCTAATTATCCCCGCGAGCCGCGATGATACGGGGGCCCAACACCTCACATCGCCTCACCCAGGAGGATCTCAGTGGTACTCGAAAGATGAAGAACCAAGCGTTCCCAAGTACGGAACAATGAGAAATATGAATCATGTACACGCTTGGCTGTGTTGAAATTGAAGCGGCGTGATCATGTCGAGGGGCGGTGACTTCGCACATCTTCATGGGAAAAGTGCAAGTTGAAATGTGGTGAAAATTCGACATCTTATGAAAACAGATGGCGGAAAAGCAGCAAAGTCAATATCGCTAACAGCCCCGTTTAGAGTGTTCCGCCAAAAGCTGTCAGACAGCCGATAACATCAGGGAGGAAATCTTTGCACTGACAGGCCAATATTTTTTGTTCCCTCCCAAATCAAATGTGCCGCTGATTCACATCTCCAGATCAGCACATCATTCAGAACTTGCACAGCAAGTCGATTTTTCCGTGTACAAGACTGCATTGCTGGGTAATTAAAAAAACACACACACACACACACACACACACACACACACACACATATACAAATATATATATATATGTGTGTGTATGTTATTGTCTTCTTCTTTGTTGTCGTATGATTTTTTTTTTTGCTCCATGTCCAGCACTTTGTATACAGCGGTGATTGTTTTAAAGTGCTCTATAAACAGTTGAGAATGTATGTGTGTGTGAGTTTGTGTGCGTGTGTGCGCGTGTGTGTGTGTGTGTGTGTGTGTGTGTGTGTGTGTGTGTGTGTGT